AAAAACGACCTATTTAACTACTTTTTTAATATTCACAAATTAGTTATATAATTTTTGTAATAAAAATCAGAGATAATATATAAGTTTGTGTATTACTTTCAATTAAAAGTAGATGGATGCGCCGTGTGACACCGTAGTGGTAGAGGGAGGGAAATTGGTGAGGTCAGGACCCTTAAATTTTCAGTTTGTTCTATGTATTTTATAGATGCTTACTCCGATTCATAATATAAATTTTAAATAATTAAATTACACAACTCAAAAGCTTGGTTAAAATTAATTAGAACAATAAATATGTAAAAAATATAACTTATTTTTTCAAAACATCTTATTTATGAAGGTACTACGACTTGGGAGTGAGAGACCGAGAAAGAATGAGTGAAAAAAAAAAAAGATAAAAGAGCATATAATTAATTAGCGAAAAAAAAAAACATTAATGTGACGCAAGATTTTCAAATATATTTTTAAATGACGTAAATCAAAATTTAAGACTCTAATGCCAAATGTAAGATCTGGTCGTGAGGTTTTGTTTTGGTCCTCAATAGAAGATTTTAGTAACTTTATCCTAAATTTATAATTTCTATCTCAAACTATCCCCCATTGACTAATGACTATATATATTAAAGAGGATTTTTAATTGATAGGGGTAGTTTTAATGCAAATTACTATGGATGGTATTTTAAGAGAACTAACACACATGTCAACTATCATCAACTATATTCTTAACAATTTGTAATATCTAATTTGTTTAAAAATGACTTTAAAAATGAGTCAGGTATGATATTATTGGATCCGAATATATTCAATTAATGAGATTCGAATAACATCTTAATTGAGATTTGAATATATTGAATTAAATAGGAAACATTATAAATAAATGAAATTCAATTAGAGGCTCAAATGAAGAAATTAATAATTAATTTTGCATTTGAATAATATCCTAATTGGGGTTTGAATATATTGAACTAAATAGAGAGCATCATAATATGTAAATAATATGACAATTAGAGGCTTAAATAGAGAAATAAATAAATAATTTCAATTTTTCATCTATTCCTCTTATATTCTGCATTTCTTCAAATTTCATTTTTCAATGAATAAAAAAATCGTACTCCTATAAAAAGTAAATCTTAAACTGCCGTATATAATGCAATTTATGATAATTTTAAATTTTATTAAATATGCTAATCCGTGCATTGCCATGAGGAGAAATTTCTAGTTTTATCAATAATTAACTTAATTAATTTTTTTAATTTTTATAAAATCAGTTTTCTAACTTCTATAGGATCCAAGAATGGAGTGTTAAAATATTGGTAAAAATACTCCCAATTTTTTATAACTTAGCAGTCATACTAAGCGTCAATCGATTCGCATCAAATTGGACTTGATCATATAAATATAAACTTCTCTTTTAAAAACATTTTTTTTTAACTAACAAAACTTAAATGCAATATTTTATCTAAGAAAACACATGTCAAACAACCTAGTACTATCTTCGGTCCTAAATATAAGATTCAGTTTGTAGTGTAACAAACAAAATCTTATATTTAGGAATAGAGGTAGTACCAACTAACCACTGGACTGTAACGGCCATTTTTTATTTATTCATTTACAGCATCTTCTTTTTAATATAATAGTTAGATAAATAATTTATAAATATTAAAATATTAGTTAAAATTAGTTATTTATAATATATATGTTTAATGTTCCTAAACTATATTTTTCTTTTCACCAACAAGAAATTCATTCCATAAGAATCAACAGTACAAAGTCTTGTGAGATCACTATAAAGCAAGATAAATATCAGCCCGCATCAGTGTAAGTATTGCATAAATCAGATTTTACAAGTTTACACAAAGGAGATAGCGGTTTCATCACCCATTCAGACCCCAAAGAGGCTCTAGCTACCCAATCAGCAACTGAGTTTGCCTCTGTCGGGATCCAACTACGCGAATGGTTCCTTAGAAGGTTCCTTGAGAATTGTAAATTTTAAAGGATAACATAATTCCTCCAACCTGGAATAGGGGCGTTGTTGTTTAAGCAATTAATCAGAATTTGATTATCTGATTCAAATAGCACCTCATCAAGATCATTGTCATATGCATAATTCATAGTCAATAGTAGTGCAGCACCTTCGGCCATCAAACTTGAATCAGCAGCAGTTACTCTAGAAGCTCCATCTAACACGCATCCATTAGAGTTTCAGGCAACAAGAGCTATAGCAGTAATATCATTTTCAGGTGTCAATGCACAGTCCACATTAATTTTGATGGCATTATCACGTGGCAAATTTCAGTTCGGTTTGCCCTCATTCTTCTTTTCAACACCCTCATTAATAGCATCAATAACATTATTCCAGTCTTTTGCAGTCCAGTATTCCTGAATCAGATCTTCTGCTTGTTTGAAGGTAAAGACAGGATCTGTGGGGGCATTCTCATATAAAAACCTGTTTCTACTCTTTCAAATTGACCAGAGAGTAGAGGCCAAGAGAGCTTCTTGCCATTGAGACAGCTTCAATAGCAAAGGCAATGATTGAACCAGTCAATAAAGTCCGCTTGAGTATAAGCATCAAATTTAGAGGTAAAGAGGCTTCCAAACGACGTAAATTTCACCCAATTGCATTAAAGAAATAAGTGCTTCACCAGTTCACTTTTCTCCTTGCAAATAAGGCATAAATCCAACACATTAGCTTTCCTTTAACCCAAATTTTCAGAGGTCGGAATAGCATTTTGCATCATCCTCCAAAGAAAATTTTTAATTTTACTGGGTGCTTTCAACTTCCATAATTCTTTCCAAAAAATTTTTAAAGGATTATTAGAAGGATGCTGTACATTATGAACGAAATGAGAGCCATTTAATTTTGCAATCTTCTAACTTTCCTTCACCACATAGGTGCCCTTTTCCCCGTAGTCCACAGCCATCTATCATCTCCATTAGAAGAGCTTATAACAGCATTCAAGATGGCTCTTTTTTAAAAATCAGAAATGCAATTTTCGATGAGGGGAAGATTCCAACCATTAGGAGACAATAATTCAGCCACGGCAAGAGTTTTCATATGTTCCAAAGGGCACTTAGAAAGAAGTTTCTTACTCGGAATACCAGCCAGCCAAGGATCGCTCCAGATAGGAGTCCCACATCCAGACTAGGATGCGTGTCTTCCTTTCTTAGCATTCATGAAATCTCCCTTGGGAAATTATTTAGACTCTCTTCCTGCCTCCAATAAAAAATATTTCTGCCAACCCATAACTCTCTTTTTCACTTCATCAATGACAAAACTAAGCGCATGGGTTTTTGATTTTCCCCAAACAATTGGCAGCCCCAAATAGTTCCCCAGGATGTCAACGAAAGGAACCTAGTTTATTAACTATATATATTGAAACTACTCATTGATTGAGTTTCATTTAATATATATATATATAGTTAATAAGAATACTTTGAATAAAAATTATAAATTTAGAAGACAAAGCAGATAAAAATCTTATATTTATGATTAAAATAAATTTTTTGTCTATTAACATTGTCTTTTATATTTCCAAGGAGTCAAGAAGCGCTTCCTCGAGGATGAATAGGCGACATGACCATGGGCCTTAACTTTGCAAGCCCATTGGGTCTTATTAAGCCCATAGCGAAATGCGAAGTCAACTAGCCAGCTGCCAAAAGAAACAATATTGTAGAGACGAAAGGAATCTTCAATTGAAATGGTTTAAACTTTAAAATGCGGAAGGATGGAGAGGCAGTCATTGTCTGTAATGGAATCCGAGGCCAAGAGACGGAATCTTCAGCCAACAACTGTGAATGGCCTAGGAATCAAATCCACAACATATTTCCTCCTTCCAGGCCCCACTTGTTCACTCACATAATGTTACCTGCATTACACAAAAATAATTCAAATTTTTCCTTTCTTTTCTCTACTTACCATAAACCCCCATTTCTCACCACAAATAAGTAGTCAGACATTCACAACATGAGATTATAAATGAAATCAAACTTACAATTTCTTTAAAAAAAGTTTGGATGACCCAAGAAGCACTTTTAAAAATTACTTTTACATAAATCAAGGCAAAACTTTTCTTATATTTTTATTTTGTATATAGTAAAATTATTTTTTAAAATCATAGTTTGGTTTTTATCCAAACACTCTCTAACTTACAAGTGATCTTATATGTCACTAAGCCACACGGCCATCACGAGCATATTTGAACTGACATAAACATACGGTTAGCATATGATAAAATCGTATAAACAATAATACATGTCTATCTAAGAACATGAGGTTAAGTTGCACATTTGTTGACCTAAACAACAGAAGATTAAAGTTGCGTATAATTTTAAATTTCACATATAAAATTCCAAAATCAATCGGTATTCAATAAAGCCACCAAAGATTATTTGAGGGGGAAAAAAATTAGTTTAGCCGTAGTTGAAAAACATAGTTTAATTGAACACTCGCCTAATATAGCCATCCTGCGCAATCGTAAAATTAAAATGACTGCCACCCCAGAAGACGCCAGAAGCACGTAGATCCATGTGAACGTAGTGACGTTCATGTACTGCAATTTGCAAATCCAAATAATAAAATAAGTTGACCTTTTTATTATTAATCTTTATTATACGCCGTAATAAGTGGTGATCCATTGCCGTTCATTAATTTTGATGCGCAAGTTTGATGTTTGTTCATCCCTTTCTTAACCCATAATCCATTAAAATTCATGATTTTGGCCCAATACATAAGAATGCTGGCTTGGCGATGTTGATGTTTTGATGATAAATAATTAATTATCTCCATTTATGTCACTCAAAGAGGTTACTTCCAAAGCCGTTCTAATCCACTCGATTCGGTAACTTAAATCTCTGATATAATAATATTTTATAGATTCAATGATTACTTCCGAAATATTAAACAATTATGATAAAGATCCAAATGAAGTGGCATCTTGTAACGTACGAAAGTGGGCACATTCTTTCAACTTGGACAATATTTTGAGAGACAGGTTCATAGAGTCGTGTTGCTTGGACCTAAAACATTGACCACAAACAAAGCTTTTTTTTGGTTCTTGATTCTTCTATATAAATCCTTTCAAAACCCCTGTTTCTCTCATCACTTGTCTAGTCAAAATTCATCCTTTTTGTTGTACATATATATCGGATTTCAATTCAAGGTGTTCTTTGCTTCTTGAGCATGGAGATGAGTTCAGATCCTGGGTTGTTGTTTGAAGCAGAGAACGAGGATGATGTCTTCTACGCTGAGATCAGGAGGCGGATTCTGCAACTGACTACTGAAGACGAGGAAGACAACGTGGGATTCCTCGGAGAAACGAAACGCGTCAACCCCATCGTCTCTGGTGGTGATGGTGGTTTGTACGGGTCGGGTTATGGTTTACCGGCTGGAAGCCATGTTTGGTCCTGGGAAGCTCAGAACTCTGGCGGGCCACCTCCTGTTTGGTTGATTAACTTGTGGAAGAATGGCAAAGGAACTGGGGTGTTCATTCCTCAAGCTGTCAGATGCAAGAAAAATCAAAGAACAGGTACAGTTGTTCTGTTTGTTTCAACGAAAAGTTTCACGGTAAACTTTAATGTTCTTCGTACCGTGTTTGAAAATCATGAGAATTTGATTAGATCAATCTGTATGTAGATTAAATACTGTTCCTTAACTTCACAGACAACTTGAAATTCACGGATAACTTTGATCTGCAAAAAGTAAAAGGATGATTTCATACAAAGGATAAATTTTTTTATGTAGATTACTGTTAAATCTACTTTGAAGTTCTGCTGCTGAAAAAGTCCGATGAAAATCTCAGTAAATTAAAACTCACAAGATGCCTGTCTATTTATTATTAGCTTTATCTTTTCAGTTTTACGGCCAAGTCTACTCAGATCTATTCTGATTCAATAGCTTTGGTTGATAAAATTGGGTTTAAATGGAATCTGAAGATATGGGTACCTGACAAATCCTTGCAGATAGAATGAACAGAAGAAGAAAAACATACAAACCAGTGGCGACCAAGGACTGATGAACCAACAATTTCGAAGATGAAGTTTAATTACAAGAAAATTTCAGAATTAATTATTCATGCAGCTTGGCAAAACTAGTCAACAAGTAGCTGTACAGAATTATATCTCTTCCAAATCAGAATGCATTCAGCTTCCTAGCCATCTATGTACAGATCATACCATAAGTTGAAATTAGGAGGAATATTGGTAGATTGAGATTGGATTCCAGAACATCACTAGTTCACTATAAGATCAGAATAAGGCAGAAGTTTGTAATGAAGCATATCTATAAATAAAGTCAAGTGCTTTTTTGCAATACTATTTCATAGGTTAGCGAAAAGTCACAACGATACCCATAAACATATTCCAAATATTCTTCACTTTTACATGTTACACTTGCATTATAACCTCTTTGAAAAAGGTTATATAATATACAGAGAATAATTCTCAGCACTTGTATAGATCAGGATGGGTGATGCAGACCATTTACTTCTACAGAAAATTACAGACCATTAGCAGCAACTACCAAAAACCTAAGGGTTCTTCATGTAACCGATTTTGAGTTACCGTACATCATTCTCTAATCTCTAGGGCGAGCTAACCATAACGAACTAAGTGCTCGTAGTCGCGAAATGTAGTCATTTATCATGAGGAATGCGCGCGCTATTTGTCGGGTTGTCAAGATTTTTTGCAGTTGTTGCAGTGTTTGTTGCCTCATGAGATCGGCCTAAGAAGAAAAAGAAAGTAACCTCAAAATGCAATTGATATACAAGTTTAACTTAAACGAGTGTGCTTGATGATGAGTAATAAATTGAAAGTAGAAAGAATGGCAGGCACATGATTTACAATTGTGTTTTCCTAAAAGACTAGAGAAGTGACACTAGCTAGCATATGACATGCGCTACCTGATGTAGGAAACTCTCCAACGCGGCAAGCTTGCTCATAGCAAGTGCCATTTGACCCATGTACTCGGCAACATTTCCTGAACCGGTAGGTCCGAGGGAGGCTGAGGAAAGTGTCTCTGAAAGAGATTGATGCAATGCTTCCATGCCTTGTGATAAAGCATCCTCAGCCTGCAACGAAGACTGCTGCAAATTATACAACCCCATCAGCTGCTGCTCTGTTAATGGCTCAAGCTGGTTCCTCAGTATCTGGAATTAACAAGTAACATCTCATAAAAGGATCAAGATAACACATTTCAACATTATGGAAGCACAGATTAAGCAACTTGCGAAACAAGGATCAAAGTAGACCATTTACCTTAAGAAGTTCAGATGATCGAAACCCACCTAACCACATAAAACATCTTTCTGCAGGCGTCTTCCACATTCCATAGAGCATGTGAAACACATCAGCTTTTGCCCCTATGCTTTTTAACCTGAATAATTCATCGTAGTGTGTTGTAACACCCTCAACAACAATATGCAGTTCATTATCTCCCATTTGAGAATTAACAGCCGTTCTTAGGTCATTTATCAGCTGTTGATGCTCATCGACCCAGCGCGCATAGTCCATGTCAAATGCTAAGGCACCTGAAGGTCCAGTAAACATTACTTTTCAACAAACCGTATGGTATTCACTTTAAAAACCTTCTGTTAAACGCCTTCTAGCTCCTCCTTACAACTCCATTAGCATTCATAAAAAATTCCTATTTATGTTTATGATGCAGAATATTAACCATCTGGGGATGCAGTTCACTATGATACAATCTCATTGGATGTTCTATGGTTGCGTCAGTCCTTCACTAATTTAGTGTAAACTACTTGCGAGATGATATTCTTTTCTCTACTTTTACTTTTTCACCTTGGATGTACTAAGATCCTTTCAATTTTGATAGAAATTGATTTCACACTAAAAAAAATCGTGAATGATGCAGTTTAGAAACACATTTTACATGGTAGCAATCTATGCATATCAATGACAGCACAAACTTCTCTCCTCAGAACTACGATGTTACCACCCGCAATACTTATGAACTAATTGTGGTATGTTAAGCCCTGGGGGCAATCTGATGCCATCCCAATGTTCAGTGATTCAATCTGTAAGAGGTTTATGTAGAGCCCTACCTTGCGAATAAGATTGTTCACATGATTAAGGATGTTCTCATTTATTTGGTGGTTACTTTGCCAGAAAATCTAAGAAATGCAGCAGGAAACATGTTTGGAAGTATTGGACAGCATGCTTTAAAATAAGAACATGATCCATAACATCGGGTAACATACCATTTCCAACCATAGAATGACCATGATCCCCAGGAAATCCACTTGCAACAAGCATTCCCTGCATTAGGAATATCATGAATCTTACATGCATAAAACAAGTAATCACATCAAACATAAAGTGGAAATCTTTCACTTCTTACACCTGCTGACGTGCGCGTTGGAGCTCTTGTTCTAGTTGTGCTAGTCTGAGACGACTGTTCTCCAACTGCTGTACATATGCCTATCCAAAACCAAAACCTATAAATCATCCAAATATGTTCCTTTTTATCCTAAGACTTAACAGACCCTATAGCATAAAGATTAGTTCACAAATCAAGCAAAGAACTGATTAGCACAGCAGAATAGGTCGTTTAACCTCGTAAAAAGCAGGCTAATGATAAAAGGACCTCAGAAACATAATAAAACAGTACACCAGAACCAGACCTGGGTATGCAAAACGTAACACATATATATCGTGTGGACGACAAACATATAGAGAGGTCTAGGATTGCAAATAACGGTCGTGAAGAAGAAGAAAAAGATTATAGTAAGCCCTTTTCTATATGTCTTAGGCAATAGAAACCCCACAAGCATGTACCTTTTTCCTCAACCGACTTTTCCTCGCAGCCTCTCGATTTTGAGCGAGCCTACGAAGAGTCTGAAGAAGGATACGTCCATGTTAATAACATATCAATAATAGCAACAATCGAATTGATTATTAAGCTGTGTAAGAGGGGAAGAAATGAAAATAAAAAACCTTCGAATCCTCAGGTTTGGCTCTAGGTTGATCCATGGAATCAGCAACCACCGCTCTCCCAGTTTGAACTCTATTACACTATGGCACAGTTAAGAAACAACAATCAGTATCCACCAAAACATGCTTATTATCTCATTGGTAATCGATAATCCACAATCTCCAATACATGATTCTAAAAAGAGTGGAACTTGAAAAAAGTGGAACAGAGCATGATAGAGAAAACAGAGACCCACTTGGTTTTTATCGTCAGGGTCGATATCTGTGGAAGTGTCAGTGTGTTGGCTATTATCTACCATGCCGGAATCACCCCAATTCTCCATATGTCCGTTCCCCACCGGCACGGCGGTACCGGTAGCAGTGATTCCCTTCTGATACATGAGGTGCTGCCCTGTATCAAGGCACCCAGCCCCTGTTGAAGCAATTTCTGAAGACCCGATGTTCTGTACACAAGAAGGAACTCAAACCCAAAACTTTCATCAGCTAGGCTTCCAGGTATAAAAAAACAAACTTTTCTACCAACAAGGGAGAGAGAAAGGATACCGAGCTCAATGTCCCGTACTGCAAGTTAATAGGAACAACAGCGACATTGCTGGACTTCACAGTAAACATAGAGCCTGCGGCGAAATTTAAATTAGAAGTTGTTGGGAAAAATAAAAATAAGAATATTTATAGACAAAATATATAGGTAATAAAAAGAGACTTGTGCTTAAATCAACAGCATCGTCATGTTGAAAGGGAGAAACGGAATGTTGAAGGTCTCCAAGATCAGAGAAACGCGTAGGATTCCTGGCGAGATCGTCCCCCCTGTTTGAAACCATAGAAACAGATAAAAACTCAGCTTCAAACTCTTGCTCATTCAAGAAGATAGGTAGAAGAAGATATACCGAAGAAAGAAGGAGGGGTGGCAATAGAGTTGTTGAGGGGTGGATTGAGCGGTCTTGAAGCTTTGCATTATGATGAGTCCGAGGTTAGTGTTATGAGTAGTCTCTCTCAGAACGAGAAAGAAGAGGGCGTGTTGTGTAGTGTGCTGGAATAGAGGAAGCAGGGGAAGAGGGAAGAGGAGGGAAGGGAGGTTGGGAAGTGAAGAAGAGAAGATCTTGATGTATCTTAAAGGGAGGGGATAGCGTATCAGTACGGCTGCTTTTGGAGGGTATAATAAATTAGAATAATAAAAATAGGGAGAATCAGGCTTTTTGATTATTGCTTTCTGACTTGGGATTTTAGTTTCCCAACACAGCGCCTCACATCACACACACAGTTCAAAGACCATCGCATTCTTGCTCAATCTTACTCTCTCTCCCCCCCACCCCCGCAGATGCACAACACGTCTCCTCCACCTCCACTTTCCCTCATTTTTTAAAACAAAAAAAAAATTACGTGGCTCTTCCTTCTATTAAGGTGTCGGATCATTGTAGGTCAATTGTTACTCCTGCAAATAGTGCTTTCTCACGTTTTTATTATAAAAGTTTGAAAACTAATTTAGAAACCTAAAAAAATTAGTTAAATTCATTAATTATAATAAATACTATTTTTTTGTTTTTTAATATAAAAGCTAACTTAATTTTTAATTTGATTCTAAATATAAGATTATAATCAACTCTACTTTTTATATTTATCTTTTTTTTAAAGTAGTCCATATAATAATTACATATGTTAAAGATTACATCAAATAATAGTTTTGGCTAATACACATAATTAATAATAGTATTTTAAAGAAGATAACATCTATTTATTATAAATAATTAGCTTAACAAAGTTTTTAAATCTACTCAAATTAGTCAAGTAGTTCTTATATTAAGAATCAAAGGTACTACATCTTAATTTTCTGATAATACCCTTTGATCATTTGTATTATAACTAATCTTTTGATAAAAACATTTTACTATATAGAGTATGCACAACCAATATGAATATTGGGGTAAAATTATAAATTTAGGATATAAAAAGAATTGAATTTGTATATTTAAGATTAAAGCAAACATCTTATTTGGTTTATAGGACCAGAGCTAATACTAGGATTAAGGTCCAATTTTCCTCTCTAAATTTGTGTCTAACAACAGCAGGTATCTGTAATTTTTTGTTGGATGAATATCACCTCAAAAATGTTTAAAAAAAAAAAAGAAGTAAAATTGCTATAACCAATATTAACTGTTAAAAAAACTAACGTTAATCGTTAACAATTTTAATGGTTATGGGCACTTTCTAACACTTCCCCAACAATATTATTGAACAAAGACTTTCTGATATCAACAACTCCTACGCAAAAATTACACCTTGACCCTTAATACTATAAGTTCATGCAATTAAGTTTTATTTAAGAGTTTGAATTACTTTCTAGCTTTTCCCTAAACCAGAGACAACATTTCTTTCTTATGATTTCAATAAAAATCAACTCTTGATTAAAAGGATTGCCAAAGACATTTGATATGCTACATTTTCGTATACTATACAGGAACATTTAAATTTCTTGGAAGAAATATATAAATTTAAAAAATACTTCCCTATGTCCTTTTTTAAATTAAAGGATGTTTGATGTTTCTATAATCTTTGTTTAAATTACTTTTTTTTTTTTACTCAAAATGATCTGTTCTGGAATGAAAGTAAAAGTATATTAATTTAATAATTTTTATTCGATGAGAACAATTTTTTTAAATATAGATTAAGATATCTTTAATGATGTTAACCCATTTTAATTAAACTTCTTCATATATGTGACGTAGGTGATGAAGGGAACGAGATTCTCTGGCCATCTTGTTAATTTTTTTTTTTTAATACATGTGAAGCAGTCGATGAATGGAATCAGATTTTTGCAGATCTCAAAAAGAAGGGCAGGGTAATTTGATGATCTTTCAATACTAATTTCTTAAAAAACTGAAACGTGTAGTTTTGATATCTTTTAAAAAAATCATGAAAAATAAAATTGCATCATTTCATGACTACCAAATACTATAATATCTCTCATTTTGTCTACAATTAATAATAAAAAAATCATTTGCATGAAAACATCTACCAAATGAAAAATTAGAAATGGCTCGGGAATCCAAATCCGTTGATGAACACTCATTCAAAAAAAAAAGGATAAATAACAAAGGCATTTAATTCTAATAATTCTATGTATATTTTCATTACGCAATGTCTTTTATTTGAACTTAGGTTTCGCAAATGGAATGACACTTGATAAGTTTTACACTTAACGTACTTTGGTTTTACTCGATCCAAGTTATTTAGGCGTAATGTAACTTTTGAAAATCGGTTGAAATTTCTTTAAAAAATTATGAATAATTTTCCAGATCATAACATAGATAATAAATAAATAGCAAATAAACTTTATTTTTCTGCAATACATCAGCTGATCTTATATATATATATATATATATATATATATATATTTATGCATTCACGCATTTTTTTTAGACACTTCAAAAGACTTCCCAAGAATAAGCTGATCTCCCCTTAGTTAATAAAATAAATGATGAATATAATTTTTTGTCATTAAGTTTGCTTTCATTTTAATTTTAGATCCTTGAGTTTTAAATTATAGGTTTTAGTCCCTCAAATTTCTTTTTATTTAAAATATAAATCTCTATAATTCAATAAAAACTTAAATTATTTTGTCCTTAGAATGACTAATATTTATGGTTTAAAATTTGAGGGATCAAAACTAAAATGATGACAAATTTAAGAGACTAACAATTATAATAACTCTAAAACAAATGTTAAATCTCTTGCAACTTTTTTTTTTTGACCAGCAGATAAATCTCTTGCAACTAGATTTTATTTCATGTAATACAATTATGAAACCCTGTGCATTATAAATTCAAATATATGTTCGACTCCTCTAAAGGTTTTGAAGCTTAGGCACCGTTTGGATGCACTTGCAAACCATGGTTTGGAAGCCCAAACTATGGTTTGCACAAAATGCTATCCAAACACCTCCTTAAAAACTAAAACCATGGTTTTGGAAAAAGCAAAAATTTTTTGCTTTTGGAGAAAAAAGGGAGAGTGTGAGAGCCTATAGGATATGTATCTTGTTATTTTTTTTATAAACATATTTTTTTATAAACATATTTAATTTTATATTTTATAAATATATATACATATTAATTATTTATTAATTATATTATCTTATGTATTATTAATTATGTTAATACAAAATATATTATTAACAATTTTATTCCTCTAAATTAAAATATATCATAAAATCTATTTTTTCTGTAATTATCATATTAACTTATTTCTTTTTTTTAGTAATTTGTATATATAAAAAGTGCTTCTGATAACAACTATTCAAACACTCTCACTTCTCAAAATCACTTTTTTATAAAATCTATTCTTTCCAAAATCTATTCTTTTCAGAATCTATTCTCCAGAATTACTTTTTCAAACTACGATTTGGTTTCATCCAAACACACTCTTAGTCGCATTGGAATTTTCTTAAAAGTATCCTCAGATGATTGGTACCTGCCTCTTTTTTTCAAAAGAATAAAATAAAAACCCCAATCATAACTTTCTCCTTCAAAGCAAGGTCAATGAATTTTGGTGAATTGGTTTTTAAGACCCGCGCCTCGCACATTATTGAGAAAAGCAAATATATCACATTCCTTATCTTAATATCATTGGCTGTCATTGCAGTTGGACAATTTATGTGAAAAAAATTTCAGGAAAAAACCTTAAAATTAATTTTTTTTAATTCAAATACCTAACACTTCAAGAGGAAAAAAAAGAAGTAAACCAAATTGTAATTTTGAAATTCAAAAAAAATGACAAAAATGTCCCTTTGTGAATAATAATTTATTTGAGAATAACAAGACTTAATTATGAAATGATAAGTCTCGATTTGAGATTACCAACAAGTGTTTTTCTAATACATAACATGTGAGATAACATGTGAATCAATTAAAAATGGCAACTATTCATCTTAAAATAATAAGTCCTACTTGTAAAATTATAAACTTCGAGTTGAGATTACATTTTTTTAGCGGGATTAACAAAGAGACATTTTTGTCATTTCTCTTGAATTTTAAAATTACAATTTGGGTTTACTTCTTTCTCCATCATTTTTAAGTGTTAGGTGCCTGGATTGGAAAATACTAACTTTAGGATTTTTTTAAAGAATATTCCCATCTATGTATCTATATGTATTTCTTTTAATGTTTTTAATGGAAAAAACCATATTGGAGGTACCTCTACTTTCTTTTAATTTTTAATTTGGTACCTATGTGTTTTTTCTCTTAATTAAATTATTTAATTTTACTTTTTTTAGCAATATTAGCTTGTGCAACTTTGTTTTGTTATTATTATTAGTCTCTATCTAAGGGTTAGTAAATTTAATAGAGCAAAATTAAAAATCTAATTAAGAAAAAAAACACATAGATACTAAATTAAAAATTAAAGGAAAAAAAGTATAATCACCTTCAAAATGGTACCCATTCATTGGATACATTGATGCTTTAAACCTCAATATCATTTTGAAATTCAAGAAAAATATAGGATCATTATTTCTGGACAAAATGTAGGGTATGGGTACTTTTAAAAAAATTTCAAACAACAAAACTACACTGAGGATTATCTACTCAGTGGATACATTGATGCTTAAAACCTCAATATCATTTTATGTCTTAAGTGAACAAATTTTTTATGAGAAAAACACTATATATATATTGTTTACTGTAAATAAGATTAATTCGTTGTTTTGTTTTTGAAATTTCAATAATTTTTCTGGGAGTTGGTCAAAGCTAATCTAAGTACCCCAACAACTCCTAGCTAGTCCGCAATCATAAAGTAGCCTCGCACTTGCGTGAAGGTCAACATGACTCGATAAATACCAATGTTCATTATTTATGAATTATACTGTTTGAGCAGTGCTTATAATTCTTAGGAAAAAGTGGATAAAAAAATTGATTAACTTTTATACATAAAAAGGGCCAGTATTTTGATTTAGGTCCTTTTTGC